ATGAATGTGGGTCAAAAGCCATTATGTGTGTGTTATCTCATTCCAAAAACAATTACTTATTTATTTACATTGGCTATTAGGCAGTTGAAAATGGGTGTTTATTTCAACTCAAACTCAAGAAAATACTTATTACAAACAAAAGTTGTGATATTCTCTTCGTTTATAATGATGATTACAATCTTGACTTCATTTGCGTCCCTTGTTTAAAGTAACATTCTCATTGAGTGATACAAAATAGGTAAATTTTATTTGGGATGTTGTGTTTTTTATGAAAGACTGCTGTCAATTTCGTCGATATTTATCATGTATGTGTTCTTTCTTGCATTTGGGTTTAATAACCTTTAAGTTTTAATTCGTTATTCGAGATAAGCTCCTTATGCTCCTTACACATGTGAAATGGCGCAGTGGACAAGACAGTGAGCAGAGAGAACTCAGATATAATGAGACAAGAAGTAAGTAGGCTGTTTAAAATAGTTAAAGTATTCTATGGGTTGAAAAAAAAGTTCTTTGAAAGCCTAGATAAATTGCATCATTTTAAACAACGAAGCACTGAAGCAAGAGGCATAATTTAACTATTAAAAGGATTTAAGACCAAAGAAGCACATGCAATGGCCTGACCCACATTGGTGCCATAAGACCAACCTTGGAACAAGGCGATTTTGAAAACACTTTTTAAAGACTCTGGAACTCATTTACCTGTGGCAAAAATATTATGAATAGGGTATCCATGGAAAAAAAAAACAAGTTACTCCTCATCATGAAATGGATTTCAAAGTCATATTGGTTAGATTTAAAGCATCTCATAATAATATTGTAAAAGGGTAATGGGGCCATAAAAAGGAACTCGCAAAAGCCTTACTTTTGTTTCGGCTTTTGATTGTATTTATACATGTATATATTATCATAAATATTGAAATGAATACGCAAACTAAACAAAGAAATGTTCATGTTTTCGAGCGGTTGTTGGATGGGCGTGTACCTGTAGATAATAATGTACAGAACACACTTCCATCGAGTAGAGGAGATGGAGCTCGGAGACTGGGGTATTAATAAGTGATGAGGAAGGGTAGACTAATTTACTCTCACAATGACAAGGAACATCAATAACGGCTTTCCGTTGTTAGTATACGCGGCGAAGTCAAGTTTGATTGAATTTCAAGAGGCCTCGTCACAAAGTCATAATACACATCGGCTGTTTATGCTTTGATGACTTGTACATTTGTCAGAAATAGGACTTTTAGTCAGAGATGTCTTTCTTAAGAAATCAAAACGGATACATCTTTACCATCAATGTTCTTATTGAATTTCTACTCGTTATTGATATGTAGATTTTTATTGTGACAATTAAAGCTACATTCCGTTTCTAGATTATTTTGTAGGGGGAATAGTGAGGATACAGAGGGGAGAAAGTTTTTTGTTTGCAACAGCAAAGAGAGAATGTCCAAATTAATCTTTAAAAGAGGATGGTGGGATTGGTGAGATATGATGAGATACGCATACAAAATGAGAGAGATAGAGAGTTTGAGGGAATGAACTATCCTATATGAAAACAAAGTTATGCCTCGAACTTGGGGCCACTTTTTCACCATCCAATCTCACTGCTGCTCCAGTTTGTACGAAGGCGCTACAATTTCCATGGTGATAATTAAACTTAAATAGCGTGTAGTGTCATTCAGGAGGGAATACATTCTAACGCGGGGCTTGTTTTTTTTACCAGTGCGATCATGGTCTAAAGGAAGCATAAAACATCCCAGGATTCATCTAACTATAGTAAATTCGTCACCAGATGTAGGTTTATTTTCCCCCTAACCCAAGAGGACCGTAATAATTCGTATAATCAGTCTTAAATTGTATTGCAAGCCCGTGCCCGAATGTAGCAGCTCGACGTTCTTATTGAATTTAAATAAGGTCATAAGGAAAACAATTCTAAGACGATGTGATTATAGCGATACACTGCGTTATCAAGCGAGAAAGAGGTGCAAAGTCGCGAAAAACTGTCATTAATTGCGTGGGTTTTTCTTCCACTCAACTTCTCTATCCACACTCCTCTCACACTGCTGCAACCTTTGACACATCCGGAAATAGATTAAGAACTTATTTTCCCTCTTTTTATTCAGTATTATCTAAATGAAATTATCTCAATGAACTTATCTTTCACGTATTGTAACTTTTACTCATTTTCTCTCGTGTTGCTGCTAAAATCATTACAATGACAGGTGATTTACAGTATAATTCTAATGTAGTAATGATTTCGTTTACATGATTCTTTTCGTTTCTAAAATGCATTTATGCTTTGCTTTTAATACTCAAATTAGAAAAATTGATGTCTGGTTTTTGGTGTATTATTAGTCATGTGATATCCGATTTATCATGTACAAGCTAATGGAGACTTTGTTGTAAAATGCAATCCACCGTTAATTACTTTCTTTTCTTTTTTCTTTTTTGAATAATTGATGAGCAATAAGATTAATGGTTACTTCCACGTCTACTGTTTTCCGCCCATCTCGCAACTATCATAGCTACTAACGTATAGATTCATAATAAGCTGAAGTCCCTTTGTTTTTGCAACAACAAAAAATCTATCCTTGGACCGCATATTAATCAAATTCTGTCGTCTAAAGATAGTAGATAAAGTGACGCCACAATACTAAAACGAAATGAGGCCTTTCATACAATAGCGTCTCCGAAATTAAATTCAATCTTACAGCGCATGACGAATGGCGCCTTTCAGAACTCATTTGTATATTCATACGCAAAGTTTCGCCTTACATCTAATATGACAATGGCATACTGAGCTGTGTTTTTAGTACAATGTTAATTAATGAGATTACATGTGTGCTTGATTAACATGTAATAATGGCGTAATTTTGATAAGATTGTACTCGGATAACTTCACATCTTCCCTACATACATGTCAAGAGCTATGCAACACTCTTTCTACTTTTGTACATGATGCGAATTATTCTCAATTCGGCGCATTACCTTTGTGTTTGATCCTAAGTTTTTGCTGCTTTTGTAAAATATCAGACGCGCACAACACACACGTGTAATCATCCACTTCGCTTAAATAAAACAGGGAGATGAACTTTCATCCTCTATTTTGCCTGGAGCAACCATGGAAACTCATTATTCTAGGTAGGTATCACGTGAAAAATGCACTCATACCCATCTATTACTAGCACCCCTGTGTGAGGCCATGAACCTCCATTAAGCAAAGCTCGGCACATCCCTACGAATTATTCATGTGATAGACGTCACAAGGTTTCTCATCTCTTTGTAACTCTTTCTCTCCCTCTCTATTGTATTAATAACATTGCCTGAAAGCTTGGGTTTTGGCAGTATATTTCGTTGTGAAAACTTAGTTTACACATAGCTGTCACATAACTGACTTTTTAGCACCAATTCTGTTGTCGAAACCCATAGATGTTCTTTTATTCCGTTAAAATTTATAATTTAAAATGTGTACCTATGCATGATGTAGTTGAGTGATAATTAATTACACGATTTTCAACTATTTTCGGAAAATCAACACAATTAGGGGAATTTTAATTCCGTATTTCATATCTAATAGATATTATGTTCGCATTACGTGATAAGTCTTTATCGTGTTTGTGCACATTCCAATATGTGACGCATAAGGCTATCGAAAATGCCTAAGGTTGATTTTTCGAAAGTATTTGATATCGTGTTCAATTTGCTCTGTTTCTCGCCTGACGACCATTTAGTTTTAGATAAGTTTACTAATCATGTGAAAAGTTGAACAGGTGAGACTGTACATACATCGGCACTTTGAATGGGGTGAGTTGCATCAGTTTTCTTTGTATAATTCATGTCTTTCGACTGCGTGAGTTTGAGAGACCCACCACATGACCGAAGCATAGCGCATTCTTGGTAAAAGCGCCACGAGAAGTTTGTAAATAGTCAACGACAGATGGCGCTTCAACAGATTTAACTTGGTGTGGAATTGAGCTGGCCTAGTTATTCAGGTACCAGTTTTCTCTTTGGGTATTCCCTAAATCCTGCCCGCGAAAAAAAATACTTGAAGCAAAGTTTAGACAGTTTTGTCTTTTATAGTTTTATAGTTTTTATAGATGAAACTAAACAAAGATAACTACGCTTATTAAAGACTGCAAAATATAGATCTGACCTTCATAATATTTATACGATTGACGTAAACATTTAATGATAAGAGAAACTATACAAACAAATCTCTCGGATGTGTATTTTTCGGGGGAGAGGTTTTCCTAGGGGGTAATTTCCCTGGGTTTCTGGTCCAGTTGGACGGAGAGGGGTTTCTTAAAAATACTTACCTTGCAAACGGTTGGTGCCGCGTCGTATCTGGTAGCGTATTTACACGATGCACACTACAACGATTGTGCAAGTTCTTACAACCATTTTAACGCACACACACGCAAGTCAAGAGCACGCGCAACACAATCATATCCGCACACACACCCACACCTACACCAAACACACATCCATACGGGCGCAGATTTGCAAGCAGTTTTTGACATTTTAAAAATAAGAGGAATAAAACTAAAACCTTGCGTGATAGTTGTGATGAAAAGTCTATATCAAATTTTTCAGGTATTAAACGAATCACTTCAAGGTGTTTTTTAAGAGTAAATTTGAATTCGATTTTTTTTTCTTCTTCTGTTAATGCAAACTAAACATTTCCAATGCTGTAAAAGAGAGTTCCCTTAACTTAATAAGAATGTGCTGTCACGCTCTTTTACATGTTTATACTATGGTAACAGACAGAAAAAATGATGGAATTTTATTTAAAAGATGATTTAATTTACCTGAAAGCTGAGAAAGGAAAACATTATTATGCACCCTGGGGACCTACGGATTTGGAAATGGAGAATTATTGCCCTACCAATGGGCACTAGCGCATCGAATAGGTTTCAAACCCGGGACCTCCCGATTACAAGACCACTGTTCTATCACTATTAAAGTCACAAACCTATAATGAACAAGAGATTTAATGTTCATCTCACCTTTGCCTTTCTTTCCAGTGGTGGTGAGTTTGTGGGCCTGTTTGAATTCTTCCCTCCTCTCGATTCGGCCTGGGGTGCTCTTGATGCGGTTCCGGAACCAGTTGTGGGTTGGAGATGCGAATCGTTTGGCGCCATCGTTCTTTTTCTTGGAGGATGAACTCATGACCTCGTCTGCCCCAGCTTTGAAGAAGTCTTCTCTGACCAGCTCCTCCCAAGCAGCCCCACTGACAGGGCGCGAAGATGGGTGCTTGAACCCTTCCTCGTCCTTCACAGACAACTCTCCCTTTTCTGTAAATAGCAATGTCATGTACAAAGTGACTATCGGTTGTATTCTCGTGCATGTTTAGAACTATAGATACTTAACGTTTTAATTTATTTTATTTTATTAGTTACATTATTAGGCTACATTAAACCTAGTCCAGAATCTGACCTATTTATTTTGTATCTCCACCACACCAACGCCACCACCCCTACTTACTTGCTACCAACCGAACGCGCCTGGCTTCTCAGCCTGGGCTGGTGAGCATAATTATGAGTTTGTTGATAACGCCATCTTCGGCGGCTTGAATGAAGTGTGTAGGGAATTTAAAGAACCGGCCAAATTCTGGACTACATTAAACCTAAAATTTTAACTATTCTACTGAGAAATTATGCCACAGAAAACGAATGTGAAAAAAGGTTGGACACTTTCTAAAATATTTTAGATTGCAGTACGTTTAGAAAACTAATTTTTAAAATCTATAGATGTAAATGATTTGTTGGAGAGGTTATGGTAGTTACCTTGACGCTCCTTGGAGCTGGCCGACCCTTGGGTCTTCTGAGGCGTATCCCCAGAGGTAATATCAATGCTTTCTTGCTGGAATTTGATGGGGGAAGTGGGGTGATGGAAGTTTCTCTGACTGGTCGACTTCTTGTCTCTCTGTTTGATGTCTGGCAATGCCTTGGAATGAGTTTCGTTACAAATTGGTTCAATGGCTGTGGTGGATCTTGGGGTGGAGCACACTGTTCCCATACCTGGAAGATAATACAATATCAAAAGGTAAACTTTGACGATGGTGATGATGGTGGTGATGGTGGTAGTGGTGGTGGTAGTAGTGGTGATGGTGGTGGTAGTGGTAGTGGTGGTAATCGTGGAGGTACTGGTGGTGATTAAGATGGTAGTGATAGGGGAGATGGTGATGATGGTTTTTGATGGTGATGATGGTGGTAACGGCGGTTATGGTGGTAGCATTGGTGGTGGTAATGGTGTTGGTGGTGATTAAGTTGTTGGTGGTGACAGTAGTGATGATGGTGCTGGTAGTGGTGGCATGTTTATGTTGTTGGTAGTGGTGGTATTAGAGGTGGTGATGGTGGTAGGAAAGGTGTTTATGGTGGTGAAGGTGTTGGTGGTGGTGGTAGTGATATTGGTGGATAAAGCCTCAGTGGTGGGTAGCAGTGATTATGGTATTGCGGTGTAAACGGGTGATACATGAAAAGTAACAAAGAAAGAGACATGATTCCATCTCGTGTATGGATACATTCAAACGACACAATCAACAGAGAAGCTGCTGTCATCAGCATACGTTTTCCTTATTGTTTTTAAGAAACAAGTACTATTTCTGTGATGAATAGTACAGATCGATTTCAAGCGGACGAAGAAAATTGCATTGACTATTTACAGAAAGCTTTTGACAACTGTACGAAGGATAGAAAAACTAAGAGCAAAATACTCTTCCATGTAATGTGAAGATACAGAAACTAAAAGTGCTAATCATAGGCCATCGTCTTCAATTAAAACAATATAAGATAAAGAACATTCATTGTAAAAGGGATGACTAATAATAGTGCGATGATCACTTTATGAAAGAAGAAAAAAAGGTGGAAAAGGGTATGACGGGAAGTGAAGTGGAAGAATGTTGAGGAAGGCGAGGAGGAGAGGGGGAATTGAGAAGAGAGAGAACTATGTAATATCAAAAGCATTAGACGGGAAAAGGCATAGGTTCGGAAAGCAGACAGGAGAAATACAGAGAGATAGAGGATAATTGATAAGAAGATTAGATTCGGAGACGGTGAATATGTCTAAATTTAGAATGCATTAGGGGATGTGGGGAGAAAAAGGCAAAAAGTAGGAATGAGATGGAGGTGACTAATAACATTTAATGAGTAATACCTTTAAAGCGGGGATACTTTACAGAGTAGAAGGCATTATCTACGGTCAACGGTTGCGAAAATCTCCGCGACGAAGGCCTATAATACCGGAGTAGGTGCCGTAGAGTATTCTGTCACAAAGAAAGCAACAATGAGGGGGGAAAAAATGTTAATCCATTTTATTCTGGTCCGAGGTCAATTTTATAGAAAGATGCCGTATTGTTATTTCAACCTGAATTGCATATTCGCTGCAAGTTTGTGGTATACTGATCCTAATGTTATTTATATCAAATTCGACACAAAGGCAAACCTGAGATGTAACCAAAGAACTGAAATATTCCCCTGCCCTGTATTTTGGACCCCAAAATTATACTACATATTCAATGCAATTCGATATAAAAATAGTTTATTGACAATATTTTTGCAGTAATAACATAATTGGAATTTCAAAAATATATCTACATTAAAAAATAACATTAAAATTATATAGCAAAATATACATATTGGTAAAACGTTAACGGTGGATGCACAATAAAATTACAACTTGTACATGAAAAGAAAATACCCTTTTTGTGACACGGTAACATTGTTGTAAGTTGATGAGAAAACTGCGTAATTTTGTATGACATGTTACTTATTCTATTCTTTCTACCGTACGAACCCTCTAACATGCAAACAATTAAAAAATTCTCAATCCACAAAGATATTTATGGTTTTCGTTGAAGGCGTCACTGTGCGACAAATTCTCCCAACCAATTTTTTAATTTTCCCAACCGTTTTTACATGAAAATAAGACATAAAACTGGCCTTTTTTTAATCTTTCAACACTGAAATGTCCGGAATGGTATATAGAGCCAATTCATTGCTTTGTGACGATTTACATTCACCTCAAATTTGATTGAATTATAAAAATATAGTTCGGAGAATTCAGGAATCGATCAGATCAGTTTCCCCAATTTGTATCAATAATAATGGTCTGTTTTCACTCAAACTTTCAGATTATCTTTAATTGCACATCTAGCATTGAATTCACTACCTTAGCACCATTTTCTCTCATCTGAACAATGTTACCAAGTCCCTTCAATGCCGCCTCGACTTCTTGGCAGGCTAGAGGGGTATTAGGTGTAATATCATAGATACTTCGACGTCACTTGGGAGGGATTCTTTGGATGAATTGCCTCGCATTTATAACGGCGCAAAAAGTAATCAAGGAATCGTGTAATAGTATACTATTCTGTTGTAATGGTAGGTGATGTGTTAGGTTTAAACAGTTCGGGACAAAGGGCTTAGTTACAATGATGGATCGTTAACATTTCAAATATAGCAAAACTGATGAGTTTGTCTGTGTATTCCGAAAAAATATATAGGCGTAGGTCATGGAAATGAAGCATTTGAGTAACAGAAAACCTCTCCGGAAAAAAAATTGAGGTCCCTATCAATCAACCTGCCTTTAGAGATAAGTTTATTATCACATGTTGTGCACATCATGGATACCTTCAGAAAATAATTTTGAAATGAGAATCCAGGTTTACTTCATAACAACCGCGGTTATTTTATTTGTTAAAGTAATCATTTCACTTTTCTCCTCTGATGTAGAATAAACTCGATCGGGTATGTGGCGTCAAGATAACGTGCGCCACCATCGTTGTAAATACTATAGGCCAGTGGCGGATCCAGGGGGGGCCGAAACGGCCGCGGCCCCCCCCTATTGGCGGCGCAAAAAAAAGGAAGAAAAAAAAAGAGGAAGAAAAGAAGAGAAAAAAAGAAAGGAGAAGAGAAAAAAAAAGGAGAAGAGAAAAGAAAGGAGAAGAGAAAGGAAAAAAGAAGAGAAAAGAAAAAAGAAGAGAAAAGATAAAGAAGAAAGCCTCCCCCCCCCCTCCCCCCACTCCGAGGATTTATGTTCCCAAAATTTCCGATAAAGAGTTACTTTTCACGCAACAAAGTCCGGCCGGTAATACACAAAAATCCGGCCCGTACTGACTTTACCCAGTTAAAGGGCTGCTTTCAAAGAGAGGGAACATACATGTGCGCACCCTAGATAACACTGAGTGGGTGGGGGGGGGGGGGGGGTGGGTAAAGAAAAGTCGGGTGAGAAAGGGGGAAAGACAAGGAAATGTCGCTAAGTGACAGTAACGACGAATAAGGGAAAACTGTAATCGGGAGATTTGGGGTCATTCCAGAAGGCTTGGCAAACGTTATTGAATAGAGGGGGGACGGGCCGGCCGCATAAAATCTCGAGCCGCGGATTCAAAGTTAAACGTTAAAAACAGCCCCTGCGGTCATCACTCTTTAGTGAGAAATTTGAAAAGGGCACAATATTTTGGATGTCTTTTAAATAGAAGTTATATACTCAACAGTCACATTTTGATTAACGGTAGGGCCGCTTCACAACTCTTATTTTGCCCTTCATTTGGATTCAGCTCATACCAACTCGCTTGTGGACAGGGGCGGCAATCCTGGGCCCGATAGGGGGACACGTCCCCCAGGAAATTTAGAAATATAGCTAGAAAGAAATATAGCGGAAAGAACGTACAAATTGGGCTTAGGGATTTTCTAGAATGCATAATTTCAGCATTCAACATTGCAAAATCTCGCTTGGTCGCTACGCCCCGGCCCTCGCTCGATAACACAAAACTATGACGCTCCCGGCCGTGATTTATCCATGGTTAGTGTAATACATCTTTTTTTCCTTTCATGTCTACTAACCTAATTGTGTGCTATCACAATCATGATTGTTTTTTATTTTCCCTTTAAAGCAGACGCGTAGCCAAGGGCGGTAAGGGCAGTAAGAGGACATAGGACGAAAAAGGAGCAGACAAAGAAATATTTTTTTTTTAAATTAAGACAAGTCGAGAACGGTACAACGAATCGTCTTCTTTCTCTAATAATTTAATTAAATGTCAAAGCTTCCGCGCATCGCTCGGAAGGGGGGGGGGCAACTGAATTCAGACAAGGATTGGGAGTCGAGAATGGTAAAACGAATCATCTTCTTTCTCTAATAATTTAATGAAACGTCAAAGCTTCCGCGCTTCGCGCGGGAGGGGGGGGGGGGGGGGTGGCGGGAACTCAATTCAGACAAAGATTAAGAGTACAACGAATCGTCTTCTTTCTCTAATAATTTAATGAACCGTCAAAGCTTACGCGCTATGCGCGGGCAGGGGAAAACTGAATTCAGACAAGGATTAAGAGTCGAGAACGGTACAACGAATCGTCTTCTTTCTCTAATAATTTAATGGAACTTCAAAGCTTCCGCGCTTCGCGCGGGAGGGGGGTAGCGGGAACTCAATTCAGACAAAGATTAAGAGTCGAGAACGGTACAACGAATCGTCTTCTTTCTCTAATAATTTAATGGAACTTCAAAGCTTCCGCGCTTCGCGCGGGGGGGGGGGGGGGGGTAGCGGGAACTCAATTCAGACAAAGATTAAGAGTCGAGAACGGTACAACAAATCGTCTTCTTTCTCTAAGAATTTAATGAAACATCAAAGCTTCTGCGCTTTGCGCGAGAGGGGGGGGGGGAGGGGGGACTCAATTCAGACAAGGATAAAGAGTCGATGACGGTACAACGAATCATCTTCTTTCTCTAATAATTTAATGAAACGTTAAGCTTCCGCGCTAAGCGCAGGAAGGGGGGGGGGCAACTGAATTCAGACAAGGATTAAGAGTCGAGAATGGAGCTACGAATCATCTTCTTTCTCTAATAATTTCATTAACTATGAAAGGCCAAAGCTTCCATGCTTCACGCGGGAGGGGGGGGGCTGAATTCAGTCAAGTAATAAAAGTCGAGAATGGTACAACAAATCTTCTTTCTCTAAAAATTTAATGAAACGTCAACGTTTCCGCGCTTCGCGCGGAAGAGGGAAAACTGAATTCAAACAAGGATTAAGAGACGAGAATGGTACAACGATTCGTCTTCTCCCTCTAATAATTTGATGAACCGTCAAAGCTTACGCGCTATGCGCGGGCAGGGGAAAACTGAATTCAGGCAAGGATTAAAAGTCGAGAACGGCACAACGAATCGTCTTCTTTCTCTAATAATTTAATGAAACGTCAAAGCTTCCGCGCTTCGCGCGGGAGGGGGTGGGTGGCGGGAACTCAATTCAGACAAAGATTAAGAGTACAACGAATCGTCTTCTTTCTCTAATAATTTAATGAACCGTCAAAGCTTACGCGCTATGCGCGGGCAGGGGAAAACTGAATTCAGACAAGGATTGAGAGTCGAGAACGGTACAACGAATCGTCTTCTTTCTCTAATAACTTAATGAAACTTCAAAGCTTCCGCGCTTCGCGCGGGAGGGGGTGGCGGGAATTCAATTTAGACAAAGATTAAGAGTCGCGAACGGTACAACGAATCGTCTTCTTTCTCTAATAATTTAATGAAACATCAAAGCTTCCGCGCTTCGCGCGGGAGGGGGAAGGGGGGAGACTGAATTCAGACAAGGATTAAGAGTCGAGAATGGAACAACGAATCATCTTCTTTCTCTAATAATTTCATTAACTATGAAAGGCCAAAGCTTCCATGCTTCGCGCGGGAGGGGGGGGGGGCTGAATTCAGTCAAGTGATAAAAGTCGAGAATGGTACAACAAATCTTCTTTCTCTAATAATTAATGAAAAGGCAAAGCTTCCGCGCTTCGCGCGGGCGGGAGGAAACTGAATTCAAACAAGGATTAAGAGTCTAGAATGTTACAACGAATCGTCTTCTTTCTCTAATAATTTAATGAAACGTCAAAGCTTCCGCGCTTCGCGCGGGAGGGGAAAAACTGAATTCAGAGAAGGATTAAGAGTCGAGAATGGAACAACGAATCATCTTCTTTCTCTAATAATTTCATTAAACTGTAAAAGGTCAAAGCCTCCGCGCTTTGCGCGGGAGGGGGAAAACTGAATTCAGACAAGGAATACGAGTCGAGAATGGTACAACAAATCGTCTTCCTTCTCTAATAATTTATGAAAGGTCAAAGCTTCCGCGGGCTATAGCCCCCCCCCCCCCCCCGATGAAAATGTCAAAAATTGTACCGGTATGGTGCTTCTAATATGACCTTGAAAAAACGGTCTGCGCAATTTTCAAATTTCCGGCCCCCCCTATTGGAAAATCCTGGATCCGCGCCTGTAGGCAGTGAATGACCAACATATCTCATTATATCTGCCAAATCAGTGATGCACTTGTAAATCCTGCCCAAAATAATGTTGTCCTTTTATTGTCGTGGAAAACTTGTGTAACATGCAGGAGAAATTTCGATAGATTTTGCCATGTAAAAATGCTGCTAACTTTTCATCAAATATTCCTCATTTTAAAACGATGAATCGTACGGCGTAATAACCATATCATGACAGGCAAATGTCTTGCTTGATTGTACCTCCTTCAGTAATTAGTCCTTTGTGTGCCTTGTGGCTTTTTCCCTAAAAATATACTC